TTTGATTGAAAAAAATATTAAATTAAAATTTCGTACATTTTGTCTTTCAATTTATTCTATAATTTAGAGTAAACAATATAATGTTTAATTAAACATCTAAAAGCAATTATAGGATTCCGGATTGGTTAACGCATATTCTGTCAATATCTGTTACATATCAACAGTTTATTGCATTGTTTCTTATTAAATTATGAAATTATTTGATGAGCTAAACAATTATATTTGGCGAATTAAAAATTGATTTGTTTAAATTACATAAAATTTATTAAATCCGAAGAAATCGTTCTTTCTTTTTGTGGAAATTCAGCATGCACTCTATTGAGAAGATGAAGTATGAAATAATTCCTAAGTAAGAGTGTTTCTTTTCGTCTCAGTGAAACAACGTAAGTAACCATTTATAACATCTAAAAACAGTAGCCTATACAGTGTTATATCTCGAGATTCTTCATTAGCTCTTCAAATCCCACGAGATTTACGGTGATAACGCAGAATTAAAATTCCAACTCAGGTATGCAGAACTTTTTGCACTTCTCCGTCATATCATCAATCATCGTTTAATTTTCCCCGTACAACGTCAAATGTTTGAAGAAGGAGGAAAAATTCGCATCTCCGTCGAGAGACGCTCTCACTTTGACGTGATCCAATTAAGCGGTGAAAATTTTTATATCCGTTACTTCGCAAAAAAATTGGAGTAATCAAATTCGGGATAGCGTCCGTCGCTGAAAGCGTTCCCGCGTCGACGTTCTGGTGACGTAAGGATGGGTTATATTTTTGGTGCGATGACTCGCGAGGTAGAAGTTCGAACCGAAATTTTGTTTGCGCGAGACCGTTCCATTCCGGCTGGGCGTTACATAAGAGAGTTAACTTCGAAAATTTCGCAAAATACAGCCGGATATCGTTTTTCACGAGACAGCTCGCCCGCCCGACCGAGCGAGATAACACCGGTGCCCGGCGTGTGTTTTCGCGATCGACTCAGGAATGTGGTATATTTTCTGCGTGACAACCTGAGGAACTCTGAATATTTATAAATGCCGTGGGGACGATCGTAGACCGGCGATGGATTTATCTCGCTTGACATTTAACCGAGAGGGCAGCATAGCGCGGCACGTTATCGACGCGTGTAAGTGAGGAGGCGCGCAACGTGGTGAAGTAACTTTGCGCTTCACGAAGAGCCATGCGATCCTGGAATTCACGACGCATCACTCGCAGGATCCCTGGATCCTGGCCAAGCGTCCGACACAGGTTCACGCGAGACTGTACGCGCAGCGGTTTTTCCAGCATAAACTTCGCGCACTCGATGTTTCCTCCCGTGCTTTTTTTTCAGTTAACTTAATTATTGTACTCTCGAATAACCGGAACACGAATCGGCGAACTGTGAGCACCGTTTATTTCTTGTTCATTATCACGCGGATACCGAAGCTATGTCTTGCATCCTGGACAACCGTCCTAATGTCCTTCGTCTAGTTTTGCGAGGACAATGGCTGACCCATATTTTGTCCGGACCTGGTTTCGCCCGGGCGGTGATTAACATTTCTTGCTAGGTATTTTGTGCTGTACGTTTCTCGCTATGCATCTCTACCGGGCGGGACGTTCGCGTATTAAAAGTTGATTTACTCGGAAATCGACTTTTCGAATCGGAATAATCGGAATCCGATTCTGCGAAACGTTCGTGTGTACAATATGTGTGCAAAGTATTCTGGCGTGAGACAAAGGAATGAAGGAACTTCGTCGGACTTAAATTTAATCCGGATTTGATATCACCGCATGTAATAGTAGTGTAATAGTGAATCATCCTTCGCTATCTTTTATTTAGAGAATATACAATAAAAGTGATTAGCTATGGAGCCATGTGTAATTCCTGGCATCATTGCCTTATCTGAACAAGAGCCGAAAAATGATGGGAAAAATGCAAAATAATAAAAAGAAGTTAATAAATCTCGATTCTCTGTGAAAATAATGCATTTTCGCGCCGGAAATGAACAGAAAAATAAAAACCAGCTCAAGTAAAAATTTTGATGCTTCTTTGACACTCTTAAGAATAGTTTGCCTATTTAGATGACCTAAACTAAACTAATAAAAACCTACATTAAAAAGTGAATTTAATCGAATCTACCTGACAATAGACAATCAAACACGTTTTGGTTGAAGAAAATAGAATTTCTGGTTACACCAAATGGTAGAATCAAATTTGGTTCGTGAAAATGAGAAATGTTATTTCCTCCAACTAAAACACGTTTGGTTGTCCATTGTTAGGTAGATTCAATCAAATTCATTTTTAAATGTATTTTGGCGATACTAATAACTTTTTTTCGAACTTTTAATTCTGCAGATATAATTTTAATGCTATTTTGACGCTAAAACAACGCAAACGGTAACTGAAGACATCATTATATTAAAAATAGATTTAGTAATAAGTAAAATTTGGTGCTAAAATTTGGTTAATACATGCCGACCAAATATTTGATTATTGCAACGAAATAATTAGTTTCGTGTACAAAATATACAATATATACAACTACAGCACTATATGTACAGTATATGGAACTAAATTATTTGGTTGCGGTAATCAAACATTTAGTCGATACATATTTACCAAATTTTGATACTTTGTTGCTAAACCCTTTTTCAATGTAAGATAAAATTATATTATTAGAATTTAAATTGAATTTATTTTGTTATCTTAGCTCTTTCTATGTTGTATAATTAACGGCTTAACACCGGGCAAGAGTTTCGTCTCGGACATTTGGAAAGACTATTTTTACTAAGAAGCCGCCGATCTTTTCGAATATTGAAAGCGATTCGCGCATACTGAAATCCGTGTGCGCGGAAACAGCGAGCTGATATATCGCTATTAGCCGAATGAAATATTAGCGCGACGAGCGACTCTAAAATAAATACAGTTTGGTTTACAGACAGACAGTATCTATTTTTCGCCCGGGAAATGCTGCTTTCCCCGGCGACGACACGGAAAATAGCTCGGCACGTTTCAGCTCATTTCGGTGAAGAGTGCTTCGCTTTTGTGCCGAAAATACGGTATAGCATCGCGCCCGGGAAATTAATCAAGGAACAAGGCATTATCGAAATTTCGACATCTATATTGAACGTAAAGCGCCATTGTTCCTCGCGACATTCTATTGGCCGGGTAGTCCTTCACTCGCAGCGCATTGTTTGCAAAATATCAAGATGCCCTTTGTAGTGAATTAGTATATATATACTAATATATACTAATATATTGCGCATTTGTTATGCCTTATTATTATATATATATATATATAATAATAATAAGGCATAACAAATGCGCAATAATGTATAATGCACAATGTAGATGTAATTAAATAAATCGATTCGCGCAATAATTTGCACGAGCTCCGTTTAAAATTATCTCCACATAAATATACAACGCGGTCTATAATTATATATTTTTCATTTTCACCTCGCCTCTCCGTTATTTATGTCTTTATCATTTTCCACTCAACAAGAATAACGAGTGCATCCGCACTCTCGCGGAGAACGCAATCCGGAAATGTCGCTATCAGCATTTCACGTGCTGCATTAAATGTACATCGTAGCAACATATATTCACGGACGTTGATAAGGGGAGCTGCGAATGGAATATGCATTCGACGGGGCTGATAGCGGAGATATCATTAAATTTGTCAAACACGCCGCTCGAGTACGTACGATCCGCTAAGAGCAAACAATACACGTACGTACACGTTTACTTTGCGCCAGCAACTCGCCGAATATTTAATATTAGATCAGCTGTGTGTGCACTTTCGTCGATTCTGCGAGATATTGTAATTCCCTTTGTGCTATCGACAACGACGCCGCGATAACGACTCTGACGATATGTTCGAAGATAAAAAAAAAATTCGCCTGACCGTCGCGTAATTTTCTCACTAATTGGAAAACACGTGGAAAGTTGCAGAAGAATCCGCCTGTCAGCTCTCGTTTACCCAATTAACACTCGTGTTATTTGCTGCCGACGTATTGCGGATATACTCTGCGCAAAGGAAGACGCGCGTCGACACGTACGCATATACGGATGGATGCGTGCGTACATGCGTATTCGCGCTTTATCTCGTAACCGCAACCACGGTGTTTTACGAGGCATCCACCGGGAAGACGATGACGCGTTACAAAATGTTGACATAAAGTTTCCCTTCAATTCCGCCTGATTTATACGAGAAACGGGGGTGGGGAGGGAGGGAGAGAGAGAGAGGCGGCTTGAGGTAACGAGACACCAGCAGAAATTATATTCCGTGTGACGAATGTGGACGATTACGGAGTCGTTCGTCGCCTTTTTTCCGCGAGAAATGAAAAATGACATTTCTCTTCCGTTTGTTTCCCCGTATCGTGCGGCTGCCGCGAACACAACATCAATCATTAAAAATATACCCGGTAATCTTTCCCGCCGACTGCACGCACACACCGCGGGACACATTTCGCGTTTAATTATATGGGGAGAGCTACGAGCACGTCTGGCGCGGCTCGCATTAGCATTAAAGAGAGTCGTAATGAGATTGAAACGTGGGGCGCCATCCGCCGCAGAGAGGGTCGCGTGCGCCTTATGTAAACGCGCGTGTGATAAGATTCCGCTTGCACGACACGCGGAGAGGGGCTCGCGAAAAAGCATCGCTAGTAGCGCGATTCGTTCGCGCACGGGGGAGGAGTGGGAGCAGCAGGGTAAACCGGTAACGTTGAATGGTGTTACGGCCCCGGGTGGGACGGAGCAACACCTCTGAGAGAGAGAGAGAGAGAACCGGGCATGAACCGTGCGTCCCCGTCGCGATCCCGTTCTTCTCAATCCCGCACGAGTCGGCTTTTTATCGCCGATCAGCGGATCGCGATGACACACTCCCGGACGCTCCCACTGCCGTTCCGGTACGTCGGATTCTCACGAGCGTCCGCGAAGAGGCGAGAAACGCCGGTCGCAGAGCAACGTGACGGCGAGGAGTCCGCAGGTGCGGGTCAATGCTACAATGTCAACAACAACGCACCTTCTGATACTTCCTGGTCGCGGTCAGGCACGATGCGGCACTCAGAGCGCGGCTCACCTCGTACCACCTCACGACGAAAATCGCCCGACACGATGCCGCCGCTGCCATTGCCCGTGAGGAAGCTCCGCTTCTTTTCCTCTTCTCTCGAACGTCGGCGTGCGCGCTTCGAGAAACGGGTAGCAGCAGCAGCCGGAGGACGCGGAGACGTGTGTCTGCGCGGCGCGCTCCGCTCGCTCACTCACTCGGCCGCCTCGCGTTCTCACCGAAGCAGCAACGCACACACCTGCCTGCCACCGTCGCGCGGAGGGACCAACGGCCGGCTCCGTACGACTACCCGCCGTGTCGGCGGGTGGCATCGCGCGCGCCGGCTCGTCCCTGAGCCCGAGACCACGACCTTGCCGCAATCGACTACGTGGCATGCGCATCGCGCCTCGCTCGATTCTCATTGGCCGGAGCGCGCGGTCGTTGCCGCCCGCGGCACCGTTCGAACGTTCGAAACGCGACGCTCCGCCGACAGCACCGCGCCGGCCAAAAGGTCACGACGCTCTTACCCCGATGAGTTTTCCGCATCCGATGGGAGAATTCATCTCTCTACGATCCTTGGGAGATATATTCTCCTCTCTTGGATGCCGCGCGGAGACAAATCATCCGCCGGCCATGCTTTCGTGCGACGGGATCCGTTGGTTATTCAATGGACAGCGAAAACGACTTGTTGAGAATGCTAATTGCCATTCGCCGGATTATTTCGCTGAATCTATAAATTATTCCGCTGCGAGAACGAATTCACGGGTGTTGGGAAACATTGTTTCGTCCTGATAGCGAATTCGTGTGTACTAAGGACAAATTCACTCGACAGTATATTTCTCATCTCGACAACTGTTTCTAGTCGAATTACTAATAATTCGTTAATTCGGTTCGGTTCACTGAATTTGAGAGAAATCATTTCGCTGTCGCAACGAATGTGCAGTAGTAACGATGGTTTCGCTATAACAGCAAAATTTCTCTCCGTGCAGGTAGAACGGACACAAGAAAATCGCGATAACGTCGAACTGGCATCGGAATGACGAGAAAACGTTGGAATCATAATCGAAAAATGAGTTACAGTCATTTTCTCACCAATCTGACGTAATTGTGACTTTCTGTTCTACCTGAGGCACTTCGCGAAACTCGTTGAGGTGAAAGCGTTCGCGATCTTTCATCTTTCACCCGTGCAAAAGCCAGAGTCATAAATGCCCGGTCATGCCCTAAATCGAGAATACGCGACTTCCGACCTTATTCTTGTACATGTGAGGCCGAAAATCGCATATGCAGTGTCGCACTCGCTTGGCACTGTTACAATTATGATTGTTCTCATAAGATTTTTAACTTTATATAGAAACACAAGATCAAAAATTATATACTCGCAATTTAAAGAATAACCAAGCATTTGCGACTCTTTGCGTATCACGCGTTACCCCATTACAGAATTACTTTTGCAATTTTTTAGAATCACTTTATTTTCCATTACTTTAGAATTACTTTTGCAATTTTTTTACGCGTATATGTGTAAGGCTGAAAATCGTCCAATTCTCTATCTGGAATAGTGCGGCATGTATGACGCTGATTGTATGGTCACAAAAAGGCCGCAACACTTTTTCTTCGTAAGTTTCGGAACGCATTCCGTGTCCAAGAGGATCATTTGTTTTTTTAGCAACTCTCAGGAGATACATTTTCCTATTGGATACGTTGCGTTGCGAAGTTCGTCGGAAAAAAGATACCGCGACCCTTTTGATCCAACTGCACGTGGATGTTTCGCTTTTTCGCTCACGGCTGGACTCGCGCCAATTTCAAAGCCGGCGGCGGCTTGAATCGCGAGTCGCGTGCTTGATTTCGACGCGGACGTGCATGTAACGTACACTTTCTCGCGATTGATTCTCTCTGAAACATCGGATAATCGGGTTTCGCGCGCGCACGCTGTTTCGTTCGGCCCCAACCTCGGCGAGGTAACGTCAACCCCGCGTGCGAAATGTACCGCACGATCTCGGAGCGCAACTTGGTCGCAGCGAGCGATATGATAACGTGTCGGAAGTCGAAAACCAACTAGCAGATCGGCTCCTCGATAAGCAAGACATGTCATCCAAGGACTACTTTTACGCGGAGAATTACTTCGACTACGCGGTTCAGCTGCGTTCGCTCAACAACTACACCAGCGAGCCGACTCACATCGGTCACTGGAGCTCGTTGACTCGCCTCGTCCTGGTGATCCTGACGCGCATCGGCTTCGTCCTCGTCCAGGTCGGCAGCGTGCCGATCAACAACGTCAATCTGATCCTCCTGCAGAATGTGGTCGACCTGTGTTGCGTCACCGTCATGTACTTCCTCACCGGTTTCCTCATCGCCTACAGTGGCAACCTAGTCGGTGTAATCGATCAGGCTCGCTGGATCGGCGATCCGACGATCGACAAGGACGAAGCGATCACAGGCTGGCAAGCGGTGACGGTCGCTTCGGCCATTTGCACCACTGCCGTCGTCGGCAGGATGCACACTTTGGGCTACCTGTTGATGGGTGTCGTCCTGGCGGGCTTGACACAGCCGCTGCTCATCCACTGGGCCTGGACCACTAACGGGTGGATGACTGAGAGCGATCTGGCCGATAAGAGAGTCATCTTCAAGGATTACGCTGGCGCGGCTGTGGTTCACGTCGTCGGGGGTCTTTCCGGTCTGATCGGTTGCGTCGTCCTCGGCAGGAGAATGCTCAGATTGAGGGACCTGGATGACGCGAGTATCAGCGCCGGTTCTGCCGGTACCGTTTTCGCGGGTCTGTTGCTGGTCCTCGTCGGACTGCAAGTGAGTGTTGTAATTTACGAATCACGCACTGGTCGATGCAAAAATTGTATACTGAATTTAAACGGTTAATTCTAGTTAATTTTGTGGTGTAAATCACAAATATGACAATTAAAATCAAAGCTTAAACTCTATTTTCTATCAATGGACAATAATCAAACGGGGATTTGATGTTTGTGGCTTTGTTGTGGTTTTCATAGTGTAGAGAAAAGGGAATGTTTTTAAAATAATAGTCACAATAATAATATTTCTTTATTACATACAAAAGATTACAAAATCAGAGAATATTAATCTTATGCAGCAAAAGGTGGGAGACAGCTATATAGCTGATTTTACTGCTTAATTTGATAATGCGTAGGTAAATATGTGAAATAACAAGAGAAACAAGACTTATTTAAGTAAAGTTAATAAATCATCCCTTTTAGAGCTAATTTTTTGTAAAGTTAATTTTTTACGCTTTGAGATAGTATATGGTAGTCCTATACCAGTTTATAATTGAGAAATTTCCCATACAGCACAAATGTTCGAAAGGCATCCTAGGGACATTCCAAAATATTCGAATATTCCTAGGACATCTCTAGGATGTCCTTTGAACATTTGTACTGTACGGGTTACGACAGAAACTATTTCCATTCTTTCATCGTAACATTCTTTACTTCGAAACCATGAAAAGACGTCTAATAACATAACGTTTAAAAGGAACTTAAGTTTTTCTGTACGAAACGTACAAAATAAGAAATTATAGTAAAAATATGTTCCTGTTGTTTTATTTTCATATCTCTCATATTATGACAATTTACAAAACTTGAAATATAGCCTACATTTCTCTAGAACTAGAGCTGGGCAATTTCCTCCATTGTCATTTTCCGTGTCAACATATAAGCAGAAAGAATTACGGTTCAAGAAGGATACAATTTATGACACGAAACGTATCCACCAGTGTTATCAGCGCGATCTAGAGAGACAATGTAAACATCATAGTCGCCGACGAACCGCTCATTAATGTTGACAGGGCTTGTGCAAGAGCGCGTACAGTCGCGACAGGTACCGCGTGCTTGAGCGAGACCCGTCGCACGCGTACGTCAACAATCTGTTGGCCGCCTCCTCGTGTTCGCTCCTGGTCGTCGCTCTGCACTTCGTGCTCAGCCGGGAAGCCTTCAATCATTGGACGGTGATGCGCTGCGTCCAGGGTACGATCGCCGGTGTGGTCGCGGTGTCAGCCGCGGCGAACGATTACTCTCCGCAAGCAGCGGTCGGCTTGGGCTGTCTGGCGGGTGTCGTGTTCTACCTGATCTCCAGACAGGTGTTTCACAGCGCCCTGGAGGACTACTGCAACGTGGTGGCTGTACACTTAGGCTGCGCGATCTTCGGCAGCCTCGCGGCGCCGATCTGCGCCGCGCGAGCCGACGAGGACGTCACGACGATACTGTTGAACCTGTCCTGGCAACTGATCTGCCTGGTGACCCTGTTGACTCTGGTCGGGGCGACGATGCTGCTGCTCTTCGGCGTGCTGCAGTGCTGCGGTATACTCCGCAACCGAACGGAATGCTTGAATCATGTGCGGGCCAACGCCGTGATTGACAGGGGCCCGCCAAGGTCGTTCCTGCAGAGATTCTTCTTCCCCGACAGCGGCTGCCTTTATCTGCAGCCGGGCTCAACCGGGCGTCAGCCGAGCGTCGGCTCCAGATTCTGGAAATATCAGGCGGAGATCGACAAGCTCGAGGGCGGCAGGCCGATTGCGAACGTCGACCCTGAGGATAACTTGACGCAGGTGCAAGCGCCAGGTCGGTGGATTTCAAGTGAAGTACAAAGTCAGTCGTGCGAGCAGTGTTTATTTCCGAACATTTTATCTTTGAAACGCGAGATAACGGTGTGGTACGAGGGTCTTCTTATCTGTCGAAATAATGCACTGTTTGCAGGAGCAAGGGTGAAAAAGACGAGGCAGGTGCATACTTTGTCCACGAGTATTCCTGCGCCCGTGGAGGAACAAGGTGGTATCGGCGAGTCGGTCAACCTGCCGGAGACTGGGAAGAAATTATTCCTCGGAAGAGAGATCAAGCACAGTCTGGACCCCATCATTGAGGAAATGGACGAGGAGGCCTCGAAGGAGCTCGAGGTTACGGAGAGCAGCTACACCGGAGGGGACATAGGCTCAATTCGGACGGAAAATCTGAGCACGCTCGCGGAATCCAAAAACCCGAGGAATTATCAGCTTCGTCGAACTGAGAAACTGACGAATCTGCATCGCGAATTTATCCGGGAGGACTTGAAAGTCGTGCTGGAGCCGAGACGGGTGGACTCCGAGACGTCCAGCGACTCGTGCGACGAAGACGGTTGCATCGGCAGGACTTGAGCGGATCTACGAGAAACGTCGCGACGAGCAACGACTCGTCGTTCCACTGCGGGCGTTAATCTCTCTTGTCGGAATAAACGTCATTTGGTCACACGGAGAGAGAGACAATCTAGAGGGGCAGGAAATTTTATGTTGTAGCAAATAAAGAAAAAATATACAAGGTGATTCTCAAGTACTGTACGATATTTTAGGAGTTAACTTTGAAGGTCATTTTATGATGAAAAGCTCGTATGAGCATGTGCTCGTTTCTTCATAAAATGACCTCGAAAGTTCATTCTTGAAATATTGAACAGCACTTAAGAAACACTCTGTATATTTATGCTCTGTATATTTTGCTACGACAGCATAAAATTCTCTAAATAATTTTTCTCCGTATATAAACGCGTGCAATGCAAATGCGACGAAGTTGACAAAAGGCCGGGCGGTACAGACTCCTCGGAACTGGAACAATCGGAGATATTTGCGCGACTTTGAAAGCCAGACAGCTGTGAGCCACAGGATATAGCAGGACGCTACAAATTATATCAAGCTCTTTTGAAATCGTTCCAGTTCCGAGACGCAAATTCCACCGCATTGTGGAGTGAGGCGCGATGTATTCGAAGGAACGAAGAGAGTCAAGTGCAAAAAGAAAGAGAGTAAAACGGTGCTGCGTGAAACGTCGTCTTAAAATTACAAGGAAGACACAATTCGAAGTGTGTATGTGTGTGTGTGTGTATTGGAAAAAATCTATATTGCGTCGCGTCGCACCGCATCGATGCGCCTCGTTCCTTATAAAACGGCTCGGTTCAGGATTTCTCTCAGTGCCTCTTTTTATTAGAACTTACGACTATTCGTACAGTTATTACAGTATTTTACAATAGAGTAGTCATAAGTTATAAATAATTCAAGATCCTATCCCGAGAAGTGTCGCACATACACACCCTACGCGCGGTTTCGTTTCTTCGCACAGTGACGGCATCGCCTGCTGCGTGACAGTCTATTGGAACAGAATATTTACAGAATGCTCTCCGCCATTCCTGTGCGTTCGTACGCGGAACAGATGCACCCGCGGAACCTCGCAGCGGTTAGCAGTTCGTCGTCGCTGATCAATGGCAGTGCCTGATATGCAAAGTGTTTCCAGTGGTATTGATTAATTTTCGAGAGACATAGAGAGAGAGAGAGAGAGAGAGAGAGAGAGAGAGAGAGAGATATATATATATATATATATATATATATATATATATATCTATAGTATACAATATATGTATACGAAAAAATAAATAAAGAACGTGCCAGTACTCGCGAAATGAAGTTCCTGATTTCGTGCAAGAACCTGATGGCGTTCAGACACTGATGCTACGTAATGTATGATAACCCCACTATATTATTTAACTTACTATAATTTTTACCTCTAATTGCGCACACTTTTTTTTTTTACCGTCACGATATGTCAATCTCAAAAGTTTCGAAAATACGAAGGTATAATTTAAAAGGGTAGTGAATCAGTGACGATGCAATGCTAGCCGTTGATCTCGCTCGGCACTTTCTTCTCTCGTGCGAGCGTTCGATGAATCCCACGGGGTTATTACCTATTTTTTTTCTCATTATCTCGTTATTGTCAGGTAGTAGCAAGCCGGACACTCGTTGCTACCGCCATACCAAACGAAATGAAGGATATTGACTCTAGAGATCCGACGTCGCGATTGGTACGTTGATCGTAATAATTGTATATACAACACTGGTAAAATGGCACGATTCGACGAAACAGATCAATCGGTTGATAGAGTATCGTTAGTAACTACTGTTACAATACTAACAATAAACTTTATACATGATTCGTTAAACGTTACATAGCATAATTCAACGGCAGTCTGAAAAAGAAAAACGAGAAAACAGGTTCTACAAAACATAACAAAGGACTTCGCCTAAACACAACTTGCGCTTACCGAGATTGTGAACGGAAAGAAAGTGTGTTCCTCCCATTAAGACACCGGATTGCTCGTCTTGGACCGAAAGCATTTAACGCACACATCGATCAGAATACGTTTCTCCATAGTAAAAAGTGCGCAGAGTGGATGTTACGTGCAAGTGATCGCGCCACGTTTTCGACTCTCGTGGATCCCTTAAAATGTACAATCACGTGGTCACAGTTACGGACAGTATCGTTAAAAATATTTGTACATTGCTTGTTGAAGATGATATATGCGTATAAATGACAAATAAATAAGAGAAAAATACGCACAATGATCAGATCTTCTGTTATCGTTTGTCCGGTGAGCGAAATCTCATCGAGCTGATTTAATGTACAGCAGAGAATCCATTAATGTTGTATAAATATCATAAATCCTATTTTTTAGGTCTGGTAGCATTAAAAATTTCCAATTAGGCGTATTATATTTGGAATATTTGTTCGTCACGACTGCTGCTTTGCAGAATTGTTGCCGATTTATCAAATCATAAACAGTCATGATGTACGAATGATGTTTCTGATAAGAAATTCTCGACGTCACTATGCCTAGAAAATGAGACAACATTGGTGGAGTCTGCTGTACGTTTTTTCGCAGTTGAACATGCGGATGCTGTACGCACGTCATTCCAAAACGAGCAATTGAATACGCACATGTACACGCTGTATGTACACATCGGAGATGAAAGATATACCGAAAAATAATCTCGAGAAGCCGCAACATGGTCGTTTGCGTTTACCCGCTGAAAGATTAGTTCTATCACACCATTTCATTTTTACAGCATTTATCGAACAAATGTTTCGTTAAATCAGTGTACAATACGCGACAAATTGTATCAAATCTTAAGTCTTCATGCGCATAGTAATTTCGGACACACTTCGTCAGCGAGTAAATCCGTGTGGTATTCCAAACAGTCATGTGTGTTGCTCTGAATACGCGCGCCGCACGGGTCTCGAATCTGATAAATTTGAGTGATTATTATTGCGAATGAACTGGCGTTTTTTGAACGTATTCAAGAGATTGGAAAATATCTTCAAGCTCGCCTCGAATACGCCTGAATCTGATCATCTCGATCCCTTCTTTTTATGGTACACCTATCTTAACATCAAAATAATACATTACATCAATGTACAAACGGACGCGATCACAAAACTTTTGTTGGCCTTTTCCACGTTGCCGGTACCAAGAATAGTATTGTCAAAATATACACAGACTCCTCGTCATCACTGCCGTCAGTATCGATCTCGAATACGCTTACGCAACAAGAATTAATATACACTGTATCTCCGAAAGTTGGCGGGCTCGAGGAAAAAGCTCGAAGCCCCGAAGTCTCACGCTCGTATGGACGATCTGACGATTAGTGTAAAGAAAATAAAATGATCGATGAACCATCGATAGTGTAATTACTAACAATTTATAGACGACGAATCACATTTTGATACGAGAGAGAGAATTGCAATTTACAAAACGATTTGGACAAATCTTAGCAATGATGTAATTAGATTTTTAATTTCATATTACTCATTGATACTAAAAATTGTTATAAAAACTTATTCTTGAAGTACTGACTTCCTAAATATTCGCGTACGGGAAAATTTATCTAATGTACAAAAGAAATACAATTTGTAAAAATAGATTTATGATCTTTTCGTGAAGCTATTTCTTTCTTTTAATGAATTTTAATTCGAATAGGAAACGTATGCATTCAACAATTCTCCTTCAATCTTGCATTCGATAAATAGGACGAAAGGCGCCTAATTACAATTAATGGACAATGGCATCAGTAAGCGCCCTGTTTTGAACATTTGTCGTCTCTGTGACGTGGTAACGATAATAATGATAATAATGACGGTAATTAATAGTAATAAAATTAAGAACGGTAGCAATTATATAATATAAAAAATATCAAATAATAATGATAACTTTCGTGGTACTATTAGCTTAACAACGATCGACAATTACAATTGTGGCTTCATAAATAAAGCCGCTTAGTGACTAGCTTTGCAGGCTTCCCATAGATTAGGCCAGTCCACTGGGATAGGCCAGGCATGGTCCTTCCTCTGAAGTTGTGGAATCCAGTGGGGCATCGAATGTACAATTAATTTACAAGTCTTCCGCCAGCAAACGATGTATCTCGCTCATGGCGGAAACAAACAAACGGGAAACGTTGGAGTTTCACGCAATCAGCGTTTGCTAGGTCATCACAGTATCGGTGAGGTCTTCCTTCAGCCATTCCGGAATCGTTCTGGACCCGAGTCGCTTCAGTAGTTTCACCAGAGCCGTATTGTGGGAAAGATAATACCTCTGTAAAGAATACAATAGTGTTAAAACACGCGTAAGTCAAATATATATACAGGGTAAGACAATAACTATTGCTCACCTTGAATATTTTGGAAAAATAAAAATAACGCAATTTTATTAACGACTAGATGAAAAAAAAAATTTACATTTACAAAAAGTGTTTTAAACGATGAGAGCACTAATCATGCAATTTCTGTTAAATAAATGTTTTTCCTGCTCTCATATTTCGAAGATATTCGAGATATTCGTAATATTTATTGCCTCATTTATATGCACACCTCATCTTACCTGTAACAATTTGTACGACCTATCTTCCATCGGCGGATACTGGCGACCTTTGCTTTTGCCGAGGCATTTAGTGCGGTCCTCGCTGGTCACCTGGCAAAAGAAGCCCTTTTTCGGATCGAACCTCAAGTGCGAGGAATAATTGAAATTGGGCGTGATCTTCAGGAACCGTTGCAACTCGTGCAGCGTTTCCACGGGGTCCTGCCGCAGCTGCTCGCCGTCGATGATGTGCAGCTGTTGCGGCGGGTAGAACGATAGCCACCTTTCCAAGTGCTGAGCGTACTTGCCGGGATTGAGACACCTGCGATCAAACGCGAGACGTCGTGTTTAATGTATTCCGAGATACTTGCCGGGCACTGCCGTGTAATCTTAGCTCCGTATTTACTCAGCGACGTCTCGCCGTTCCTGCGTCTATTCATACGTTACCCGGGCCGGTGTGGTCTCAAGTCATTATTCACGTCCAATTACGTACCTATTTCTAAGGTCCCGCAGGGGCTTCGGCGCGGAATCGCTCGCCGTGATGACCTCATGGAAAGTGTAATTGTTCGCTACCGGATCCCCGTGCATTCTGGTATGCTGGTACCATGAGTAAGCGCGTCTGACTGGGGAGATCAATATAGTGATTAGCTTGGCTCTCGGTAAAAGCGCGTGCACCCTCCGTGGCACCAATTCTCCGTCGAAGTAAGTGGCGGATTTCTCAAAGAGATACCGGGAGCTCTCATTTTTCGCCGTCGGGAAGAAGCTCATGTACCTGAGGAGGAACAACGCGAGTCATGTCTCCGTTTCTTTCCGTCGATCTCGAGACGGTAAAGAGCATGGAAAATAATACAGTTCCTGCAACTGAATAGGAACCAAACGAAAACTCAGTAACGAGACATGATATCTCTGTTATTGCGGCTGAGACATTCATATGAATATTCAGGATTTTAGCAGATTGGCTGACTTATAAAGAAAATTTTAAGATAATATTTTATGAATTTATCTTTGAATCATTTTTTACCTTCTTTTTTTTTATTATACTGCGGTTTGTCATCAATTACTAACGGCTTTCATCAATTAGAACGGCTTTTTGGCTTAAGAGACTTTTTATAATAAGCAATAAGATTTAAGTAGTATAGGAATTGATCAACCACAACCGATTATTCTTCTAAAGCTGGTTTTATATGTAATGTGGCGAATGTAGGCAAACGTCGGCAATTATAATGACCATGTATGTTACATTTTGTTAATCATGTTATGTTATATTACATTTGTTATATTATCACGTGTGTTACATATACGTGATCAATATAATTGCCAACGTTTGCCTATGTTTGCCACATCGTATGAAGTCAGCTTAATAAACGATTCTGATTGGTCAATTTTCTTGCTGCTTAAGTCTTATTACTTATTGTAAAAAGCCTTTAACTCCTTCTTGCTTTAAAACGTAAGCAAATTAACCAACTACGATCGATTATTCTTCTAATAAACGACCATGGTTGGTCAATTTGATTACTGTTTCGTAATCTTAAAGCAAGATTATGGACAAGCGGTAAAATTCCAGAGATACAAGACAATTATTGTATCTTATTTAAGAGCAAGACTTAAGACACAAAATATGTCTTGAACCGATAAGTCAGCTATCTTGGAAAGTCTCTCAGCTGCATTAAAATTCGGTTGAAACAACTGAGAGCAATTGACTGAATAAAAACCTCGTACAGAAATCTTTCCGTTCCCACAACCGAGTTTTCGCCCGGTCCCCGGGCAACGGGAAATTCAGTTACACCAACGTAATCGTTTTTCCCGTGCACAAATCGGTCGATCGCTCACCAGTCGAGGCCCTTGTAGTAATTCTTCCCGTTGAAAAACTGTATCTCCTCGAAGGTGTCGGGGCTCGGTAGATTACTGCTTATCGCCGGGTGAATAGATAGGAATGTGTACAACGCCGTGGTGCCGGTTTTTTGAGGCCCGATCACCAGGAAGCGCGGCAGTTGGTCGCAGGTTTTATTGCGAGACCAGATCTTCTGGTGCCTCTGATCGTCGCATGGATTCTGCAAGAACGATATTGCACAGAGTGATGCGGCGGAAACAGCAGCCGGAGATCGACGGGTAGCCGTCAAAAATCTACTCACCCCCCACACCGGATCGGCCTCCTCGGGGTAGAGCTGGAAATAACGTTCCCCGAGTTGAAGCGGCGGCGCGCTGGACAGCCTGAGGTTCGTCCAACATTGAATGAATTTGATGACCGACTCGAAAGTGTACAACGCCAGTCGATCGTTCCCATAATTCGACATGTGTGTCATAAAAATATTTATCTGGAAGAGGAAGGAGACGGGATTTACGTTTCATATCGTTTTTATTCGCCGTGATATCGTCGAATTAAAGTGGAAGCCGAGATACGCGCGACGACGCGACGACTGAATTAATGGAGATAGCCCGGAATCGCGGGCGATTGAAATATTTCGAGCCACCGTGGGATACACCGGCGGTTAAAGGCAACGCTTGTAATATAGCAACCGGGCAAGATCAAACGGATCCGGAGCGCTAAAATTGACTCCGTAGCGTTTGATTTACTCACCGGATTATATACGATCGTTTGGAAAAGTTCGCCGCCCTGTATCGACTCGTCCAGTTTCTCCCTCCCACCCGGATACCTCTCGATGAAAATGGTGTGAGTGAAAAGGCCGCAGGTTTGTCTGGGTAGGACCTGAAGCATAAAAGGGGGATATTTTATATTCAGCTCGCGCGATGTGTGTTGCGAATTTATAAATTATACACGAGAGACGGAAGTGCAAGATGAACGTCAGATATTACCCCCGTTTCGAAAATAAAAATTTAATATCTCGCGCGCTAAAATATAAACTCGCTTTATATGTAAACGTTCCTCGCAGAAAAAGAACAGGATCGCATTTCGCGTGTTTACACATGTCCAGAATATTTTTTGTCGAATAATATAGCACATTGATGGTATAATTTATTAGACTTGCGTGACTAGAATATAGTCATGCTGAAGCCAAAATTTATGTATGTCAACAAAATAAACGAAATTGACCAGATATATTTTTCGACCTGATTGTATGTAAATTTATTATACGTGCAAGGAAATGTCAGAAAGATAAGAAATACCAACATATGCATTTTCGACGTCCGGTTGCTCATTATTTCTAATGCCAGCGCGGGAAAAAATTTAAATTTTTGTGTAACGTATAATACTGCTGTGTACTGGTATTAGAAATGTACTGTGTATGCGCATCTATGAAAACAGCAGAGAGGGTATTCGTTGCGTTTGCGAGCGTACTTTCAGTTTCTGGGCAGCGATGTGCAGGTGTAACCGCGTTGCTTTCTGAATTTTCCATATTGCCTCGAAATTATTTCGACCTCATGATTATATCCAAGACCACCATGATACTTTTTCAGCTCATGAATGTTTACATCTAAGGGAAAAATTATCCGCCTGCAGGTTAACGAGCGCTTAATTAACCGTCGAATTTTAGCCGATGATACTTATGTAAATCGGAGGTGAAAACGCAATTTTTATATCTCCCGGGAATTGCACGGCGCAAATTGGAGCCGACCGTGGCAAGGCGCGTATTATAAACTTGTTCGGAATTAATCCCGATCGGAATTGTTGAATTATTTCCTATAAACTACAAGGGAAAATCTAGAGATTAACTGAATGATTCCGATCGGAATTCATTCCGAATAGTTCCACAATATCCGCCCAGGAATAGTAACGCTTTCTATGTATCGATCCGTATAGCTCGTGACATATTCTCGTCGGCGGCGTTTGATCCGGTTCAGGAGCAGTGCGCGTTCAACGCGAGCGTCAGCATTAAACGTTCCGCGTATCGAACCGATTTAACTATCGCTAATATGTAATCATCTACCATAATATTACGATGAATGAAGCCGCGTCTCAGGCGAGCCGGTCTCAAGTGTGGGTACTCCTCGGTGCTCGTGACCTTGATGTTCCAGACTCTCTTCCACGCCTCGTAGAGACCCTCGTGGACCGGGTAGACGCCGGAGTGATGCGGACTTACGCTGTATCCGCTTCCGGTTGGTATACCATGGTCCTTTGCGAACTGTTTGTTCAGTGCCATGTCCAATTGTAGATGAGTTACATTCTCGTACAGGTGTGGTTGCTGGTGATTCCACATGTGGGAAAACCACGTAAATCTGCGGAGGCAACGGATCGCTCTTTTGATCTCGTGTAAATTTCAATAGGCGCGCGCGCACGCGAATCCGCACAGAGAAAAAAATTCCTTCGGATTTCATACAATTTCTTCGAGATAAATTTGTCTTCTGGAACGGAGCCAAGAATATTTGACTCGACAAACAGGAATGGTTTGGTTTCTCAAATAATAAATATCTCTTTACGTAAAATGACAAATTTTTTTTATATTTCCATCCCAACATTATAATGGTTGTCACAAGTAATAAATTATGCGAAAAGAGTAACGCTATGTTAGAAAAATATTAAAGAACTTCTTTGTTTCACAGTGGAATGATATTTAATATACAGGATATTCGTAAAAGGCTATTCAATATTTCAACGGGGCATAATTACGTTGTTTAATATAAACAACCCCAAATCAAACAAACACGTATACTAAATCCAAAGAAACCCTTTTCTCTGTGCAGTGATATCGCGCGATTCGGAGCGATTCTTAAGCGATGTATCTCTCAAACGCGTACGCCGCTCGTCACATGCGGTTTCGCGTAGTTTTGCAATTTCGGAATCAATAATCACGCTGATTAATCGCGTCGAAGTCTCAGCCGTTATTGTTCGGCCTCGAGCTTTGTCACGGCGATTAAAGCGGCGTTTCCGGCGAACAGTTGCATGACGTGATATTATAATACGCGAGATATCGATGAAATTGTAGATTTAATTCACTGCGCGCTGCCCCTAAGCGCTCGCTTTGTAATAGCAAATTTGAGTAATGAAAGCTGCAGCAATTAGCGACCGCTACAATCGCGTGCTCGTCGAGGCTGTGCGAATTAATTCGCGATACGCTGCGATACGGAATGGTATATTCCACGTATTTCGCCTGGATCGCTCTCACACTCACGGCCAATATTTGCGGATCATACCTGTCTACGTTCTCCAGAAGCATGTCGTCCCCCAAATTCTCCTCCGCCGTCCCGTGATGAAAATACTTGCCGGAAAACCCCAAATTGAATTTGAACCCCGGCACGAGCGCTTGAATTCTCTGCTGAGTGGCCAGCAACGCCATCACGTCGTCCTTCCTAAGTCTGGTGCCCTTCTCGCCGACGAATATATCGTCCACATCCACCAGGATCATGCGATTTAAACTGAGACTCAATTGCCCGTGCGACAAGTAGGACAACGAGTCCAGCAGCAGCAGCTTGTGCAGCCAGAATCGCAGCCCGCTGCCGAATAGGACCCTCTGGATCCCGTCGTACCGGCCATGATCCTGTCATACAAATATACCCCGCGGAGTGAATTTTGAGAGCTTGTTTTGCACAAAAAATAGATTACAAAAAAAAAAACACGAAAATCTTGCTGAAAAAATTCGAGCTCGACTAGCCTCGACATACACGAACCCGACATTGAATTCGTTTAGCTCGATTTCGATTTTGTTTTACAGTGTACACTGAGCTTCGAAACGGTTTAAACATTTTTATTTCAAAGTTTTCGGGACGCAACCAATCGCCCAATGAGAGAGCTTATTTTTCGACAGCGAGTTCCCTCATTGGACCGTTGTTTGTGTTCCGAACTGCATCGAAAACGATAAAAAGCGTTCGAGCTGTTTCGAAACTCAGTGTACATATTTCCTTTAACTATTTTTTCACGTAGATCCTCGAGCCCCACAGTCGAAAACCCCGTTCTACTTTCGAATTAATCAATTTCTATCGCGTTATGTTATACATGCAAATTGCGGTTCGGCGCTGTTTGCCACGCTGCATGGCAAATGTATCTGCAACTGCACTCCGATCGCATAAACGGCGATGTTCGATAATAACCCGTATCTAATTACATCCTAATTTCCCCTATTGATAGAGAGACAGAAAGACAATCATTCTTCTCGCGTCCGGTGAACCGTTTCGCGAACGAAAACACGCGCGAATTTCGCGATACCGGGTATACGCGCGCGCGAGAGAGAGAGAGAGAGAGAGAGAGAGAGAGAGAGAGAGAATGTTTATTGGAATTTTAGGGCGATCTCTCTAAGAACGTTTGATAAAGTAATGACACAATAATACCAGACAGTAAAAAAATGTGTGTAAATATAAGACACTACACATGTCGCAAATGGTCCACGCAAACTTTTGTATTAATTTATCACAAGTGAATATTAGTACAAAGACCAGTCTACAACGCAAATTTTTACCCTTTTAAGTAAAGTATTTGAGTCGCCATAAGATGTCCTTGTTGGACCTTGTTGGAGACAGCGCGTATTTGTCCGTTCCAGTTTAATGTGTTTCAAATAGTAATCCCAAGGTTAGCGATCGAGTTGCTGAAAACAAGTCATTCGCCGCTCAACCTAAAACCTAAGAGAGAAAGGGGGCGCATTCGAGCTAGCTAATCATCGCGCGTTAACGAGCATCGTTATTTTTCTCTCGGCGTACGGGCGTACGGTGGAGTGCGCAGCGAGTAATCGCGAACGTCCGACGTGTTAATTACATTGTTCGACAGGAACTCTCCGGTAAGCGGCGACGGCAGCTCCGCAGCTTCGGCAGTGAGCCGAGCTTGTTAGCAGTAAACAACAATAATAATCTCACGGATAATCCTATCGCGCGGGAGAAGGGAGGTAGGCAGCGGCGGCGACGGCGGTCGAGGGTCGGAGAGAGATACGCGGATCGCGCAGGTAGCCAGGTGATTAAATCAGGAGCCAATCAGCCGTAGGCTCATTCGATTAATGAGCCGACTGCGTGGCGGGGCTTCATTTGCTACCCATTGGAACCGCCAATTTATTTCGTTCCGGCCTCGTTCAGCATCCCCCGTAATCTTAGTCGTCATCATCGTCACTGTCTCATCAGGGAGCAAAACTCCGCTGATGGCACTGCGCGACGGGACGACGGGGGGTTGTTGGAGCAGGAAGCTGTCGGGATATTTCCGGAATGCCGCGAATGCGAGACGCGGCTCCCGATAAACCGCGCGGCGAGAATTGCCACCGTGCGACCGTGTCGGGGCCGCGCTTTTTCACAAGTTCGCGTCCCGTTATTTATAACGAAACCAGGGTGAAATTCGCATCGCCCAATTAAACGAAGAATTCGGATCCGTCGTCGTCGTCGTCGTCGTCGTGCGAGAGTTTTTCTCCCGAATTTCTGCTGCACACACCGCCGGCATCGTGGTGCCAAGGCGGACAACATTTTTAGAAATGTATCCATAAAATGTTTGAGTATACCAACACAGTGCGAAGTTGAGTAACAAGAAATTGCGATAAAAATATTTCGAATGGCAATACATGATGGTTACGAATGTTATTTAAATCGGTACCGACTTCCATGTGAAAAGGTATTCCACAGTTACTAATTATATTAATAGTTTTAGGAAATAATTTTTATATATTTTATTGCACGGAATTATATTTGCAGATGTTAAAAGCGAGAAACAAATGTAAACATTTAAAGAGGATCGGGAATATTATTAAATTTCTCTGTCATTTTATATAACCTCTAATTTCTGTCGCGAGATTTTACTGTTTCCCGGTCGAATAATGTATCATGTAACAATGTAATGTAAATTTCGCAGACGCGTTTAATAATATCTCTCGATTGACTTGGGGCTGATCTCTCGTTAGCGAAAACATCGGTGGGTATCAAGTTACGAGCTGGTCCCGAGAGTCCATATTTCACGACTATATCTAGCTCTTTAAATATCGAAGATAAATACAAGACAGATTCTCCATTGCTCTCCTCGAAGAAAGAGAGAAGGCGAATTATCGTACGAGAGATATAATAGCTCCGTCGTTGGTACCGCAGGGACGAGAAAGTTAACAAGAAGCTCTTCGCGCGTTTCTCTCTCTCTCTCTCTCTCTCTCTTTGTGTGTCGAGACGGTGCCGGGATAAAGCGGTTCGACGGTGAGACGTGCGTTTCGCGAATGGGTGGAAGGACGTCGCGCCGTCGGGACGAGCAAGCAAGACATCGGCGATATAGCGGGTTTTCCCCGTTCTTCGTTATATCGGACGATATCTCGCGCGTCTGTCGGATGAACGCAGTTTCCTTTATATCATCTGCAATTCGGCCGTTCGGCGCCTCTTCTCTCGGATGACCGTGTCTGCGACCCCCTCGCGTTTATCGCGCGTCATCGTCGTCGTCGTCGTCTCGCTTCTCCCTCCCGTTTCCGTGTCCGTTACGTCCGGAATCTTGTAGTTACGAATTCCTGCACGAATGTAAACGTCGGTCGAGACGGCTCTGCGAATTGTTTCACAGTCTCACCCTCGCACCGCACCTCCACCTAGCCGCCACCGACGTCGGATCCTTTCTATGCTCCACCGTTTCTCTCTCTCTCTCTCTCTCTCGTTCCTTTTCTCTCACAACTTACTCTACCAGCCTTTTTCCTCTCGTTTTCGCTCCTTTCCCTTCCTCTTCCTCCGCCTTTTTCTCCTCGTTCTTCTCGCCCGCATATACCGGTGGCCACGAGCCGTATCGCGGAAATTCCACATTTGTTTTCGTTTTCCGGCGCCGCCGCCGCCGGCAATCGAGGCGCAGAAAGGATCGTCAGGACGAGAGAAACGGAAGAGAAAAATGAGGGAAGACGGACGAGGAAAATTGCGCGCGCGTACTTAGCGCTCGCCATCGATGCGAAATTAATTGGCGACCGGCGTAACGAAAAGGAGCCGCGTCCTCTGACAAGTTACAAAGGCCCTTAGGTCCGTATTAATAGTTGTTAGTTGAAACTTTTCTCAAATGAGACACTCAAATTTGAATTCCAAGTTAGACGCGAGTTTTTCAGTTGAATAGCGTTTGCGGATGTAATGTCAAATATATCATATAATTCAGCTGAAAAGTTCAGATCTAACCCTGAATTGAAGTTTCAGTATTTTACTTGGGACAAGTTTCAAGTGATAACTAGAGAAGATGGTATTATGACCTTTGTAGGTATTAACGGCTCCCCTTAAAGCGGTGTCTACAATAGAGTAGTAAAACTTAAGCCGTAAGAAATTGACTAATTCCAATCAATTATTTTTCTCACATTCGACTGTAATTGGTCAATTTCTTACGGCTCAAGGCTTACTATTAGATGACAAATTTTAGCAATTATTTAGGCAATCATTTGTTTAATAGCTTGTTGTTACGCAATGACGCTAATATGCCGATATACAATAGTCAGCATTTGTTATAATGCATTTTCACATTCGAGCATTTCGAAATATTTGCAAAATACATTTTAGCGTTTAATTAATTTTTATCTTAATTTTGCAAGAACAAAATTTAATTACATATATTTCCTCATACTTCCCAAACTTGAGCGTATTATCACAGTAATATATATACTTGAATATTTTGTTTAATTAATTAATATTTTATTCCGCTATAAACATTTCAAGTTATGTAAAGTTAAACAATAACATGGCATTTTGCTACCTTTCAATAATTGCAAATAAATATAAAAGTCTATTCGTTTTATAAAAAAACTGTCTTTTTGACAGTTTACATCTACCTTTAGACAAGTAAATCAATATGTACATTAAAAATTCACGGTATATTCATTGTTACTTTTTCTACGAGAGTTTATCTTGAATAAATATATAAATTTGCAACAAAAGACTGTGTTTTTTCAAACAAAACCAATATTTTTATATAAATACTTTCACATCTTTATACATAACGTTCTAAATAATAAATATTTCATAATTTTGAATCTAGAATCGATTGAACAACACTTTAACGCAATGCAATCCGTGAAGTTTTCAATCAAAAATATTGCTTATTAACCAAGTTATTCTACAAAATGTAAATGGGATGTCACAAATACCAGCTTCTCTATTAATACGGATCATACAGACTCGAGATTGAAAAGAAGGGGAAAAAAGACCCCAGCGCATGATTCATGATACAAATTCATCAGTGAAGGAGGAAACGGAATTTCCAAGATTAATCGAAGAATGCACGAACAAAAGTAGCGAAGGACGCGCACGCGCGCGCTGTTACGATAACCGTGAGATGGATTTCACTCGCAGATGGCAGACACAACGGCGGGGTCTTATCACATCGGTTAAGGGTCAACGCATGAGAAAGAAGTCGAAGGCACTCGTGCTTCTTATCGCGCGACATTCGAGGGGGTCTCTCTTCTTCCTCCCCGCCCTCCTCCCTCCGGCTTTCTTCGCGGCCGGAATACTCGTGTGCGCACACGCCGCCGGCACAAGCACAGGGCGAAATCACTGTGCGTATTGTTCCGGGCCTCGCTTTTGTTCTACCCCTGGCGAGAGCGGCGGATCTTATACAGCCACTCAGCTTCTTGTTCCCCGCCGGGCCGCCCGTCTTTCTTCCTTTCTTTCTTCGTTACACGCAACCCTCCGTTAGTTTCCGCCGCAAAGTGAAGTGGCGTATCAGGAAAATTTCCGCGTCTCCACCGTCGGCTTTCTTTTTTGGGCATCGTCGTCGAGAGTCGCGGCGACGATGGGGAGAAGAAGGCCGGCTCGACTGCCCTTTGAGAGCCCGGGGCTCTTCCCTGTCTCTCTTTATCTACCTCCTGTCACCTCGCAAGAGAGAGAGAGAGAGAGACAAGTGCATAAGCAATGCGTCCTGGGATCGCAAGTCGTAATGGCCGCTTCACTTACCCCGACCGTGATGCTGTGCTTCCTCTTGCTCGACGCGAAATCACTGGGATCATCGTTAAAAATGATCGTCGTCCGAGTCGTATCGGCCGCGGTTCGTGCCTCGTTCGTCGGCCGCCACCTCGTTGCGCGGAAGGGCGATTCCGGGGATCAGGGGCGCCGAAATCGTTTCGAGATATCCGAGTAAAAGCGATTCTCGCGAGAACCGTAGATTCTCAGAGGGTGAGGTGGAATCCTTGTTGTCCCTCGCGAGGGCGAGGGAGCGCGGACGTCACGCGGGAACTTACTTGGCGAATTGTCCCCGCGTCTTTGCCGACTTTTCTCATCCGGACAATTTTAACACCTCTCTCTAGCCGCGGGGGCAGCGCGGAACGAAGCTCCGCGCGAGGAAATTTCGCGCTCGTTCTTGTTTTTCGAGATCACCCCCTTCCGCCCGCTGTATCTCCGGGCACGAGATAAGAGATCCGAGCGCGCGAGTTAATAAAGGATTCCCAAAGGATGCGCTCGAAGCTCTGTGTAAGCATAATGGGGAACGGGAGGGTCTCAAAGTTGACGTACGATAAACTGAAACTTTCGGGTACGACGTCATGAGAACCATCTCCTCAATGTTACCGCGTATTCGCGCGTGCGCAACAGAGAGGGAATGTCTTCTCTTTGTATAAATTACCCTCTCGGTTCCGAAACACAGGAAATTTCTGTCACTCCGGCGAGCGAGCGAGTTACTCCAGCCGAACGTCGCGCGGCGCATCCGTGTAAGGTTCCGAGGTCCGGTGGATGCGCGAGGGGGAAAATGATTTAAACGATCCCCGTCGCCGGCGAGTACGCGCGGACGCGTCCGGTGCATTAATTCCGCAGTCGTCCGAGAAGGGATACGTGACCGGAATGTGCGTGCTCTGAGACTCACCTGGATGACGGTGGCCAGGGGACTCTTGTTGGCCGGATAGTCAAGGCTGTCTCGGTGCGCCCAAGCGAGCGGCTCGTAGGTGCTGTGATTCGCCTGAAAAATAGTCCAGTCGCCGCCAGGAAGTGGTCCCCAAGCCGTTTCCCCCGATCTGGTTAATCGGAGAATAGGAGACGCCGCATTCAGCTGAGCATCCTGCAGGAAGAAAGAGCGACCTGATTCCGCGGCCAGCACAAAAGTTTCGCCGTCTGTCCGTCCGTTCGTTCGCTCGCTCGCTTTCCCCGCCGGATTTCTCCTCGCTTTTCGACGAGAAATCAGATTTTCGGACGTATCGCGCGAGCGGCATCCCGCTTTGTTAAACGGGAATCGCTCGAAGCGATTCCGCGCGCGCGTGCGCGCTGATAAAACGGCGATTTCATATTTAGAATGGCTTGCAAAACAATATTCTCTGTAAAAACGTGCGGAGGTGTACTGTAACGACGTAATGGCGTCGCATGGGTGTGATAGTTGCACCGGGCGAAAAATTATTCGAAAATTCATAGCGCGTAGTCACACGATCACGTGCGATGGAGAGAGAGAGAGAGAGAGAGAGAGAGCGAAAGGGAAAGCGAGACAGAGAAAGTGGCAATCGTTAAATTGAAAATTTGATATCTCCAAAATGGTATCGAGACTTTGCGAACGTTAGGCGCGATTTAACCGCCGATTGAAACCACGTAGCGTTTCCATACGCAAACAGGGAAATTGAATCGGTCCGAGCCTCCTTATTCCAAGCCGCGCTCGCGCCCCGAAATGTAATCGCATTGCGGTTGCGAGCTTATTTATGGAGAAATGATATACTTCATACTGTCGTGCCCGATGAGCATGCACAACGTTAATTTCGCCAAGTTTCTGCTTGCTTTACGAGCGGCATGATCGTTACTCACGAGATGTGCCATGCGCGATCGATGCGCCAAAGTTTTAAGAAGGCCGTAACTCACGAGGATAATAAGGATGGGTAGATGCTTGATGGCGGAAAATTAAGTATCCTAATAAGGTGACGGTATTATTAAAATGATTCCCGAGGATGCGTGCGCGTGTGCGAGCGGCTCGCAAAAATAATGCAGATGCATCCCCGCGCGGGAGAACAATAAGAGTGTCGTCCCACGGGCATAGAAAAAGCGGAACAGAAGGATGTAATAGGGGAGTGACTAATTGGAATCATATTCATACTCAGGGTTGTCACGGAAATTAAATTTTTGAAATTCCCTGGTTTTTCCATGTTTTCCAGACGACAGCGGAGAATTTCTCATGAGCAATATGTAATCTTAAACTTGGGCGTTTAGGAGCAAGGATTGCAGGAAAGGTAGCTTATATTATTAGAAGCAACACAAACTTAAAAGTTTAGTAATATGATATAAACCTGAATGCAAATTCAGGCCAACGAAGAATGAGTAATGAAAGAGCACGGTCGAGAGAATGTAAGAGAATTGTGCGTAAGTAAAGTTTAATATAGGTTTTTTATATCTTTCACTGGACTTTACCACGTTTCCCCTGACATTCTAAGTTTCTAGTGACTTTTCCCGATTCCCTAGGTCTGCGGCTGTGATGCTAACCCTGTTCCGATCTCAAATTTCAATTTGACCGTGTTCCTCATGCACAGGAGAAACGAAAATCCGTAAAAGAGAAAAATCAAATTTTCTTAATTATAGCCAATAAAAATAATCAATCTTATAAAAAAATTTATATAACTGTAATAAATTAATAAATAACAAATTCTAAGAGATTTATACAATTTGAGTGGAATTATAAAGAATTCAGAAAAGTATATGTTATAAGTTTTAGGGGAGTTAGAATTTCCCAACTATTTTCTCTTTTTCCGCAGAAATTTTCCGTAAAATGTGCTCCATGGGGAACACAAGCAGAGATCGAAACGAATTAGTATGAATATGATTCCAATTGACCACCAATTCCCCCACTACATCTTTTCCATTTCGCTTTTCCGTTGTCCACGGTACGGCGCTCTAATAATAAGCGCTCCGCCAGTTGGGAAGAGGAGACACACGTATAATACTGATTATCTTATTACCGAAGCTCGTCCTAATGCGCGCGTCGCGCTGGTACTACACTTCTTTTACTACTCCTTTTTACTACTCTCTTACGAAGGTTTCCTTCTCATTTCGATACCAGTTTTCCGCGATATAAAGTTGATTGCTTCCTTGAAGATTGCCACTCACCGGCTCTACTTCTTGTTCCTTTCTCCGTCTCTATCTCTCTGTACGACTCTCCCGAGAAGTATTATTCGATATTGATTGTAAAAGAGGCGTTCTCTTTATCCCGCGAGCAAAGTAATTATACCGTAAGCGCTCGTGACCGATGTAATCATAGATGTGATACATCACAGAATTGCTGAGCGTGTGCAAGTAACGTAACGATGACGAAGCTCACCTTCAACCTAAGATTCGTGTGTATAAAAAGCGGAAAGCCCTTGAGCTGAGCACCGACCAGGCTCTCCTCTCCGGGAGGGGCAAAACCGACGATGCCGACCGAATATTCCCTGCAATATTTGTCCAGCAGCTCGCGATTCCACTTGTCCATCTGCAGGTACTTGTTTAGGTTCTCGAAGATCAGCACCCCGTACCGACCTTTGTCGAGATTCGTCAGCACCGGTAAAGATTTGCCGGCCACCTCCACTTTGTACCTGGAATCATAACGATGATTTTTTGCCGTTGAGATACACGCTGTGTGCATTCTTCCGAAGGAGAAAAAAAACAGCGACCAAAAAATTACAAACAGTTATTCCATTTTATCGGCACAACCGTTTGCGTGAAAAAAAATCAAACACGTTAACCGAGTTTCGGTGTTTCGCCGGGGGATAATATCGCTTTAAAATTTCATTAAATTTTTACTCGGAGATATTTTCGTTTTTATTTGTTTTCACGGATGGAATATCCAGCGATGGGCTAATATGATGGATTTTCGAGATTGCGACTCTTCAGCATCGAACATCGATGAGACGATGTAGACACTGCAATGCAAACGTAAAAATTGTTTTCCTTTTTTTTTTTCGGAAATACCGCGAGCACCCAGAGAGTACTGTAACTGTACTCTCTACATTTATCGTTTCCGAATGCCATTAAAACTGAAGCGATATATATTCCGCTAATCGCCTCCGGGTCTCTTTACTTAAGAATTGAACATAGAGGGATGTGGACTTTTGCAAACTCCGCTTAGGTACGCATTATTCTTGCGCAGCTTATATATAAGGTAAGCACCGCCCGGAGTTAACGTGTTCTTTAAAATGGAATAAATTTCCTCTTCTTTTCTTCCAGTCTATCTCCCCCCCCCCCCCCCCNGTGTTTCAGTTCTTTCTCTCTCTCTCTCCTACTCACTGGTGGCCGATACTTTACGCGGTCTTTCTCTCGCTTTTCCTGCCAACGCAAATATTTCACGGCAAATATTTAGACGCGAACGCTAGTCACGCGAGATACAGCCGTCAACGTGTGTTTTGACAATTTCAATCCGATGGTGTTTGGGATGTTTAAAGTGGGAGCCATAGTAAATAGAAGTAAAATGGAATATCGATAAAAGAAGTAGCCCGGCGAGACTGCCGGTATTGTTAAACGATAAAACTGAGACACTTTATATCGAAATTCCATTTGTATGTACCGTCCGAAACGCTCCGCGAATAATAAAGCAATTACACGTATGATGCCTCCCCCCTCTCTCTCTCTCTCTCTCTCAACACTGTGATAGATTGAGAAACTCAGTATCGAGATTTATTGCGTTTTCCTCTTTTTTTTCGATAACCGTATCATGGCACCGTCGAGCCACGTTTAGTCTTATCTGGATATTTTTATATCCATTGCACCCTGCCATTGCAAAAGAGAATAAAAAAAGAGCGACAGAGCGTACTTCTGTTCTGAACGCGATAAAATGATTTTATTGCGGAAATAAACCGGCGGGTGCTCCTCGTCGATCGTACCGATGGATTTCTCTCATATCCTGTCGCGTCGTAAAGAGGTGGTGCGGATATCAAATTTATTGGAGATGCAGTCCGATGCGACGAAAAAAGAAAAACACGCACACATGCGAAAAAGAGGGGAAAGGAAAAAAAAATACGCTACCTGCCAATGGGTAAGTCCGCGTTCGATTTTTTCAGCAGATTTGGGGAATGGAAAACATGTTTCGCTCGTAAAGTCGCGATGAAATAAATATTCAACGGACGAGCGCGAAGTTACGCTCCCTCCTCTCTCTCTCTCTCTCGCTCGCTCGCTCTCTGTTATTTGTAGCGTATCGAGACTAACGTCGAAATTTATTACGCGCCGATAAATCGCTCTCCGTTCGTTTGCTTTCGCGGTTCGTAACCGCGTTACAACTAGAGTAATTACGTCCAATCATCGACAATGGAGTTCCCATGGATGGCAAATATTTGATGCATTAGTAAACGAAGCGAACGTCAGATATCATTTCGACTAGAAGCTCCAGCTATACGAATACATATGAATATTCGCCGAATATCGGCAACTGCGACGACGTATACGATAGTTTTGAAGAATGAGAGAGAGAAAGAAAAAGGGGAAGAGAAAGAGAGAGAGGTATAAGAAGGCAATGATACGTCATATATTCCGGAATTGACATCTGAGATGTATCGCTGCTCAAAAATCAGGCAAACGATATTTGAGTTGCAGAGCAAACAGTTTTGAGTTACGCATGCAAACGTGCGCATGCAGGCACACAGCGTGAAAACCCACGAAAGGTCCATGCGGATCAATATCAATGATAGAGTCGGCCGCCTCATGTTTGTGTTTAACGTTCAGATCCGCCGGATCTAATGGCATATGAACGTCAACGTTGTTAGCCTGCTGAAACGGCAGATAGCTGTTTAAGAGGCTACCTATACTCGAAGAAACGTCCAGTGTTTGAATTTTTCTGCTCACTATATTCTTGACTTTACGAAATCCTCCTTTTGAGAGACGATTCTTCTCATTTTTGTGTACATATTACATGAAGCCTGTTGCAAAAAATGTTGATATATAATGCTGTTATTACTATTTTCGTGAAACTCGTCATTGCTAATCGATATTCAAAATATTCCGGAAACTATTGGACCGATTTAGCTGTATTTTTACATGGATATTCTTAATAAGGTTATCTAGTCTTTGTCGTAGAATTTTTTAAATATCTGTTAATGTTTTTTTTTTATAAATGAAACTAAGAATATCTATGCCGCTCGGGTGTATGCACATTGAGAGAAATTATAGTTATTTTCGGTGTCAGCTATAACTTTTCTACAGTTTTAACCACAGAAATAGTGAAATAGGTGATAATAACACATTTAAAAAATTGGTTTTCCTGATTATAATCCTTTCTCTATGATGATCACAGTTACAAATACTAAATATTTTCCCCTCAGTGAAGCACCTTAAGGCAGAATCCCAGTATATTGTGTGCATCGATGCACAGCGTATACGATTACGATTCGTCGGATTCGAAGAGTTCATCGCGCTCTTCGGCACGAAATTATTCGATAACTTCCCAGCAAAGTTTTCCCCACTGCTGGCGAGACCGACCGTCGCGCGCAGACGATGGGAAGGGTGGAACGAACAGCGACAACGAACGGCAAAAATCGACGAGCGCCATCGAGACGCACATTAGGCGGACGGACGCTCGGCGCGCGCGGAATATTAACACTCGCGATTTTAGGTATGAAATTTGAATATGATTTACCGGATGGTTCTCTCATAGAGACGCTTCTCGCTCGGTGTAGTTAGCACTAGTTTAGCACTTATGCTATTAATGCGCAATTTACTGGTTTCGCGCGCAATGAAGATAAATGACTCCGGCGTGGTGCAACGACACGGCGCGGCGAGCTGACGCGTTCCGAGAGTTAAGGGGACCAAGAGTAATCCGCCTAATGTAATAGTTTTATAATTAGATGAGAGCGTTATTGGGTTGCAAGCGCGCCGTAATTGACTTTATTTTTGCGTTAACGAATTGTCAGCCGCGAGTCGGCCGCGCACATACGCGTGCCCTTCTGCGACGTGTGCGAACGCGCGACGGAAAATTCGGGTTAACTAATGAATGAATCGGATAATTTAGCGAAGTAATCGATTCGATAATTGGTAACCGCCCATTAACGGCGAGTTAGCCAATTTACGGGGCTAACGAACTGTCATAACGAACCTCCCGATGCGGCTCTTTTGTTCTTGGCTAACAATCGAAATCGCCGGGCGCCGAATACTCGCGCTCTAGCATGCCCGTTCGCGCTCGGCCGCCGCTCGCACGCGTCACGCGAAGGAAGATCCTTTCACGAAAGCGAAATTCAGAAGTATCGATTGGCAGGTCGGAGAAGCCCCGATCGCGAAACGATGGAGGAAGAGACCGACCCGTACGTGCCGCGGATACCGGAGACGTCTCGGAATTTGTACTTTGGGGCGCACCGGGATAGTTTCATTAATTATATTTCCAACTCGTGCCTGAAAAGTTCAGTCCACTTCCGGGGGCGACAGGGAACTTTCATGTCTTTCTCTCTCTCTCTCTCTCTCTCTTCCTCCCTCCTTCCCCTTCTCTCTCTTTTTCTCAGGCGAAGAAGATTGAATTAAGTTTAATTAATACGGAGTGGAAAGAGATAAAATTGACGCGGGCGCGTCGAGGGCGCTTCGGCGATATTGCGCGCGTTGGACGTGTGATCGGAGTTGATGGCGCTATTGATTGAGGACGAGATCGAGGCGAACTGCTATCGTTATCCGGAGCTTTCATTTTCTACGCACGTCGCCGGCTTTGTCGCTGCGCCATATCCAGTGCCCTATATCGGGACCGGGATTAACGTTAATCGATATAATACTACCTGCCTGAAATTCGTTGCTCTTACCAGCTTAATCGGCTTGCGTGAGCTCAAGGTTATATACCGAATTTATTCCCCGGCGGGAAGGGGGAATCGTTATCTCGATCGGAACCCACACTTTTTCCGAGTTCCGAAGTCAGCTCCCTCTCTCTCTCTCCTCGGGGCGGTGAATCGCATTATTATCTACGACGAAGAGCGGCACAGACTTCCCGAACGGGCCCCGCACGGTCAGTTTAATTAACCCGCTGTAACTCCATTTCAAATTTAAATTATTAAACGTCGGAAGTAAAGCGTATCAGCGTCCAAATAGATCCTTCGGTAAAACGTTTAATCAAGTAAAACGCCCGCTCAATTTTCCAGGAAATAATATGATCGCGTATAAAGCGTTTTCTCCTTCAGCGAACACATCTCAATTTTATTTATACCGGCCACTCCTCTCTCCTTCCTCTCCCCCCACTGCTCTCTTTCTCCCTCTTCTTCCTTCTCCACCCTTGTAATTTCCATCGTGTTAAACAACGCGAGTTTTTCACGAAGTTATCGCGATATTACTTGATACGCCGGCGCGTTTCATCGTCCGAACGTTTCGGCACGATGGGAACTTACCGGAGGCGAATATCAGGTTAAAATGCAGATGTAATTCGCGGAAATTCGCGAATACGCCGGATATTACAAGCGCAAAGTGCGGAGGGCGGGGGAGGCAGAGACCGAATTGTAACGGTGCATACGAGAAATTCGGATTCGTTTTCATTACGGGAAATAATTTAATTTGGCGAATTAAATGACAGCGCAACGTCGAACGGCGGGTTCGCGCAGGAAAGGCAATCGCGGATCGCTTCTGGCAGTTACCGTAAGTT